CTGAAACAAAAAATTATTTTGGCTAAAAATGGCAACTCAAAAAGTAACTCGAAAGAAAGCTAAACTTACCTCATCTCGTCGACTCGTTCGATTCGCAACATAACTGCATATGGTTCATCAGGCTTCATTCCAAATATCTTGTACTCAATTTTCGGAAATATTTTCCTAGAACAATTATTTTACACTACGTACGTTACATTGAAATTGCTTTTTTGAAAAGAACCATTTTAAAAGCAATGCGCACTTTAAACGAAAGTTGTTACACTGAAATATCAACAAATTTTCGTTTATTATCCGCTACTGAAACGCTGAAAGAAGTTTGATCATTCCTGCAGACCATAGAAGGAGCAGTAGTTCAAATTACAAGGAAGTTACCACTGTAAATCGAATCCGGCCACAAAAAAATGAACATTGAATATTGCCGTGCAGTTAGCAGATTACGATTGTGGATCTCAGAAGTACCATACGAAAAATTATGGTTTAAGATTGTATGAGGAGGGGAGATCAGGGTTCGACACGAGGTGGCTTTCCAAAAATGCAAAAAAACGAAGTTCGCTTCGAGCTTCGCAAATCTTATGAAGTGCTTTTTGACCCTATACTCTAAACGCAAAAAAAAACTCTCGAAAACGAAACGTCGACTAGAAAACGTCGAAATTTTTCGGTGTCTTTTCGACCTCAAAAATGACATCCAGCTTGCTTATAAGCCAGCTATATGCCGAGCCCTGTGGACGATTCTATAAAAATCAAGAAATTCCAACCCAGAATGAATTACAAGATGTTTCTCAGAACGAGTACACCATCATCGACTAAGGAAACAAACTTGAAACTTGTCTCATAAAAGAATTTACATTAGACTTTTCAGTGTCTTAAGTCATTCAAAAATTTCCTGGAGTTTTTTACGAGAAACTCACCGTCCACCTTTGGTGACAATCATCTCTGTTGTATGTTGATGAAATTTTCGCCATAAGTTTTCTGTCGTCAATGTGGCGCTCACCGTTGATGGATATGATTGCTCCATCTGGAAAACTGAGTCATTATGGAAATTCTTAAGCAATAATGAATCTAAGAGTATGAACGTCAAAGCAAACACTAGTGTTAGAGCCCCAAGGATAAGTGCTGCTCTAGTGCAGGGCAATGTACACTTCTTCAGAGCACTCGGAAGTACGTAATTACGATATCGGTTCATCCATCTACCCATCCACACCCATTCGTGTTTTTGGTCGCCACGCCCATAGCCAACAGCAGATACGGTAGAGGTGTGGGCAAAAGATGCGCTTATTATTACTCAGCTTTCACAAAAAATTTTGGGAAATGGTAGTCTTGGCTTATGAGCCCAAAAAACACGCGAAGCTATAGCATATATGTTCTTCAACTGCTGGTAAAGTTATTATTTCTCGCAATTTCGTCAAAAGCAACAAGCTCTTGAGAGGAAAAAAATACGAAAACAGCTGAATTTGCGTAAAATCCATCAATCGCGGTAAGTCAGAAAATCTCTTGCGAAGGGG